TCCATGCCTAGGAAATGCTTTAGTTGGCCGCCATCGACCACTTTAAACTCATCAGCAATGGCAGTCTTGACGCTTTCGAGATATCCTCTGTCGGAACTGGCTATTAGAAGATCATCTACGTATACAACAATAATACAAATATTAGTAGAAACTTTTCTAGAATACAAACACGGCTCGCTTGCACATGGTAGAAATCCAAGCTTGATGAGTGTAGAATTGAGTTTCTCGTTCCATTCCTGCCGCTCTGCTTTAGACCATACAACGATTTGTGCAACTTTAGCACACGCTCAGGATATTGATGATCAATGAATGCCTCCGGCTGACGCATGTAGATGACATCATGTAACTCGCTATTAAGATACGCTGACGAAACGTCCATTTGGTGCATATACCACCCGTGTTCTGCAGCCAATGCCATGACCAGCCTGATCGTTGAGTATCTGGCAACTGGTGAAAAAGTCTCGGTGAAGTTTACTCCATATCGCTGAGCACAGCCCTTGGCAACAAGTCGGGCTTTGAAGCGCTCGACATTGTCATCTTTGTCACGCTTTAGTGCGTACACCCACATACATCCGATAGGTTTTTCACCCTTTGGTAGATCGACTAGAGACCAAGTCTTATTTTTGAGAAGACTGTTCATTTCCGTTTTCATTGAAGCACGCCAGTCCGCTGCATGATTACTCGTTAATACCTCGTTTGCATTAGCAGGGACACTAATAGCTTCAGCCGATATGGTGTTCAGCATGTGATATTCCTTCGCTGGGCGTCCAGGCCGACCCGTATAAACCTTTTTCGGTCTCCCGCGACCCCTTCGTGCTCCTTTTGAAATCGGCTGTCCGACGACCGACTGTCTGTCATCGTCAACTCGATCTGAACCTTCTGGCTCCTCTGTGTTTCGCATATCGTCCATTTCAACTAAGGATTCATCCTCACTAGCCACGTCCAGGGCCTCTTCGTCCGGAATAGAATGCTTCTGGAAGTCTACAAGCTGCGGCTGCACATATTCAGCAGCACTCGACGAAGGCATGCGATTCCTATACAGGGAGCTCTCGATGAAAATTACATCTCGTGCCTCAATCACTTTTTGTTTTTCGGGACTAAACAGCCTATATGCCTTTGCTGTTTCAGAATAGCCGACCAAATAATGCTCTTCGCCTTTTGGCGAAAATTTCTTATGTTGAGTTTTATTCAACACAATTGCCTTCGCACCAAAGATCCGCAAATGGCCGACACAGGGCTTCCTTCCTGTCCACACTTCAAACGGTGTCATGCCAGGTAAAGTTGAAGATTCTGCACGGTTACGCAAATATGCAGCAGTTTTGATTGCTTCTGCCCAGAATCGCTCGTCCAATCCTGCATGAAAGAGCATGCTGCGGGCCATTTCTACCAATGTACGATTGGCTCGTTCCGCGACACCATTCTGTTGGGGGGTATGAGGCACAGTTAATTGTCTTTTTACCCCGCTGTCAACAAGACATGACTCAAACGCGTCACTCAAGTATTCGCGACCGTTATCGCTTCTCAAGAGTACCAACTTCTTTCCCGACTGATTTTCCGCGAATGATTTAAATTGTTTGAACTTGACTAAGATTTCGTCTCTTGTCTTCAGAAAATCAACAAACACATAGCGCGATTTGTCATCGATGAATGTTACGAAGTACCGAGCTCCGCCTAAGGAGTTTTTATTCATTGGTCCGCAAATGTCAGTATGCACCAATCCAAGAACATTGTTTGCACGGCTTGCACTATCTTTTGGGAATTGCTTTACACAAATTTTGCATTTTGCACAGGTTTCGCACACCTGGCCGTTCATGTCATTTAATGGACTTGTTTTAATACCGTTAACCATTTTTTCACACATCATCTTTTTTAGGCTTGCATAGTTTAAATGTCCGAAACGATCGTGCCACACGTTTACTGGGTTTGTTTGTACATTTAAGCATTTGTTTTCTTGATTTTGGAACAAGAACAAATCGTGCTGCTTTTTTGCAACCATTATGGCGACGCCTTTATTGTTTTTCACACGCGCTTCTGTCTTTGCAAATTCAACAGAGAAACCATTTTCGATGGCCTTGGACACCGACATAAAATTGCATTGCAATTCCTTCACATACAAAACGTCGACAAGTTTTATGTGGTTATTTTCCCAAATCAAATCCACTGTGCCGCGCCCTTCAGCTTCTATGTAGCTATTGCCCGCTAAAGCAATTCGCTCTTTGTGCTCTTTTAGTTCGGTAAAACGAGTTCGCTCACAACACAAGTGAGCCGTGGCACCACTGTCGACACACCACATACTCTTCGCAAAGAGAGTTTTAGACGCGCACGCAAAAACGGAATACGATTTCTCTCTTTCGGTTTCGTTATTTCCTTTCGGGGTGTTTTCTTTTCTTGTTCTTTGCTCTACACTTTGACGCCTTGTGTCCGCGACGACCACACGACCAGCAAATTATCCCACTCGGGCCATTCGTTTTCTTCTGTCCGTTTTCGTTATTCGTCTTTTGCTTTGACGACGACCAATTTTTAACACCCGAACCGAACGCTCGTTGTTCACTTTTCTCTGCGCATTCTTGATTTGCCTTGCGCCTGTCTCCTTCTTCATGAAGCTTTACTTTCAGAGAGTTCAAATTTGGCAAACAATCACGTGTCTCCATTGCTACCACCAAATTTTTGTAGGCCTCGGGCAGGCTCGATAGCAACAGAATAGACAAAATTTCTTCAGGAACTATTAAGTCAATTTCTTTCAGTTTTTCCACGATCGCACAAAAATTATTTACGTGGTTCACTACCGATTCATTTTCGCTCATTTTTACGAACAACTGCATTAACAGGCTTATGCGACGCGCGGGGCCTCATGGCATATGGATACCCGCTAGAACTTTCCATGCTTCTTTTGCAGATGTACAGTTTTTCACATAGTTTATCTGGGATGGCTTGATACACAGCATAATACTCGCAAGAGCCTTCTCGTCTTTTAAATCAAACTGTGCCTTCTGCGCATCATTATCTTCTTCATTTTTCACTTCTCGACCGCACACTACTGACCACAACTCAGAGTGTATTAGCACGCTTTTCATTTGGATTACCCACGCACTATAATTCTCATTGTCGAGCTTATCGATTGAATGGAAAGACGAACCCATTTTCGCAATCGATCGAGTCACAGTTTCAGAAAGTCAGAAAAATCACTTTCAACCGCCGCAGACAGAAATTCTGGGCCCATAACCTATTCGTTGTGGTATTTATTTGTGACTCAATATGAAGAGCAAAAAGATGTCCGTCAAAGGCAGACGGAATACAAATCAAAAAGGGAAACGAGAGAACGCCGCTTCATTGCGACTCATACATACATGTTTACTTATGCTGGATAATGCATAACAGAAAGAAAAATAGAGAAGACACAGTACGTTGTTTAAGTTTACATATTCAACAAATGGCAATTTTAACGCTGAGTGAGCCATACGGCATCCGTCTAACAATGTGGCCGCTATTCCAGAAGAAGCAATTTCTACCGCAATTTCGGATCTCGCACGTACAGTGGCCAAAATCAATGACATGAGGAATGTCTTCCCAGTTCCACCGGGGGCATCCAAAAAAAATAAGCCGCCATTTCCATCATCAATTGCATTAATCAGTGTATCATAGACTTCCCTCTGCTTAGGACTCAACAGAGGTACATTCGTTTGAACTGATTGGATTAGTTCATGTGGATCATATTCACGTTCACGTTCCAATTCTCTATCAAATGCGTCATTCATTCCGCGATCTGGCGCTGGCATTCCTAACCTAACTAACAAACTGCCGCACATGAGGTAACACATATCTTCGATCAAGAGCAAAGTCTGGTTATGGATCTCCTCATTCACCTCAAGATCGGAATTTCTTGAGCTGACGCGAATTCGATGTAAAATATCTTCTGACATGTTATCTTTGTATTTGTCACGTGGGTTCGATGGGAAGCATGTTGAAATGATGATAGCAAATAATGTGCGTATCTGACTTGGAGATGCAGAAATAATGGCTTCAGCGATTGTCGTGTCCCAATGAGTATCGTTTTCAAGCAAATTTAGCTCTTGACATGCTGCACGAAATGTAGGGCACACAATACCATTAACAGTTCGTAGTGATTCAAATGATGTTGGCCCTCGAACATGTACCAGCAACAACCGCAAATATAAACATTCATCATTCTTCGGATGAACTGTGTAAATACGACCAAGAGCATCAGTAGAACGCATATCTGGATGACCAGGAACTGCATCGCCTTGCTTCCGACGTGGAAATTTCTTCGATGTAGCGTTCCAAGTGTAATAACGTGGCTCTGGTGGCGGGACCAATAATGGCAATTTCACTTTACCACTAAGGCAGCACAAACCAGGCGAACTCAATGCTCCACAATGCTGGCAAACAACGTCCATTGGACCAATGCAAACTAAACGATGCAAGCTGTAGTCGATGGTGCGATCATACAGAAACGCTGCTCGATTCAAATCAATACTTGAACCATTTCTTCTTGCACTTCGAAGATTATTCCTCTGTTCATCTGTACGATAAGCTCGACGATTTCTCCTTGCTAACCTAGCCGTTTCACGGGCTGCCTCTCTTTGCTCTTGTGTTTGAGAAGCACGAATTAAGGCCCTTCTAACACGGCGCTGTTCTCGTGCAATTTCTCGTTCTCCATCAGATAATTGACTCGCGATATTCCGTTGCCTAATTGCATTACGGCTTCGCTGCATTCCAGAAAACCCCGAGCCTCACATGCAAGCAATCGGGTAGCGAAAAACCCGCTTCAGATGTTCCACGATATTTTCTCACCTATGAAATGATGTGGCCAGTTTTTGCATCTTGCGTCTTATGCCTCACTCTCACACCTGCCTTGTTCAAGTTCAAGTTGAAGTTGACGTTGTGGCGCGGGCACGTCTGTATTGGCATAGCAAGGAGCAGCAGGAGGAGTTCAGTAGAAAGCAGGATAATAATAAACAACTTGCGGATCAGACGTGAGCTGATGATAGAACTGCTGAAGAAACAAGAAGAAAGTTCTGAATTGGAGCTACAGCCAAGTGTTGGCTTCATCCCGGGAATGGTACTACGCTCGGGAAAGAAGTTAGGGACAGGAAAGTGGTGGTCGTCCACAGTGGTGCCTTCGAGCTAGAGGATAAATCAATTAGTGATTCCCCCCCACACCACACACTTGGCCCTTAGGTTACTCACTCTGCTCAATATCGCAATAGACGTGTGAATTTTGGTGTTTCCATTCTATTTGAATGGATATAAAATAAAACTTTTACAACAATTTTTTAAATTTAGAATTTCGAATTTTTCGACGAGTGTGATATTTTTGGTTTTTAGTTGTTACTTGTTTGCTCTCTATAGCAATAATAAATTTTTGTTTGTTTCTAAGGGGACCTGGGTTTGACTTTTGAATACAAAAGCAAATATGATTAAATATAATTCTTCAATTTATGTGAAGAAGCCAAGAAGCCAGAATTTGTGTGTTGTATTCCAGACATCCAGACTAGGCAATATTGTCAGTGTTTGGCTATTAAGCGTTTTTAATAGCCGTTGAAACTCGTTTAATTGTTAAGAAAAGTCTAGCGTTTCAATGGGTAATGTACAATTTATTATATATTGGTAATGTAAGGTAGACGATAAAGTGACCGATATAATAAAGCGATGGATACGTTATGAAGATCAATACCAGACTGAGAAAGGGCAGGCGGGCCGAATTGGCGGTGCCCTAATGCAAGCGAGAGAGAGCAAATAAACGATAGAAGCTCGGGCTGCTGCTGAGCCGAGTACGAGCGATAGATAGAGAGAAAGAATGCGAGAGAGCAGCATAGATGATGAGAACGATGGCGAAAGAAACTTGGAAGCGAGATGCATATATAGACCACAATTCGTGTGTCACCAATTGACCGAATATATGCGTATGTATGTAGGAAATTAAAGTATTCCAGTGTTTATTTAATGTATTTAGGATAGGTTTTAAACGTGATACAGTTTGTGCTTAAATTAGTTCTCGTAAAAGTATTTCTTGTGGACCACTTTATTTTTACTTCTTTACACGATACGAACTACCCCGCTCACAACGACGCTCGGGTAGGTTATCGATTCATGGCTATCGACCGGTGATCAGAGGGTTGCCGTATAACTCGCACCACTTCTAGTGTGCCCCTTTTGTGATTTCCCGCCAGGTTCAAATCCCACAATCGGCCCTCCTGACGGAACATTCGCCTCGAATGGACCTGGCCATGGCTTCATGTACTCGGACACCGTCGACGTTCTAAAAGGACCCTCCGTATCTCCAACTCTCTCTACTTCATAGCGCCCATGTTCCTTGGCAGCAACCACTTTATACGGTCCTAAGTATTTTCCTTTAAGCTTTAGGCCCACTCCATATTGGGTTCTCTTAATGGCAACTAAATCGTTCACTTTATACTCTTTTTCTTTCTTACGTTTCAAGTTAAAAGATCTTTTATTTTCTCCTTGAAGTTTCTCAATGTTTTGTCGGGCTTCATTACGGATCTGTTCACGCTCTTGTTCTAACTCCTTTATGACAAATTCGTTGATTAACTCCCTTAGCTCACTGCTATCAGCTAAACGCATATCCACTCCTGTAAATAGCTTGAATGGAGTAACTTTGGTGCTTCTAGGCTCAGTACTATTAATGATCTGCTGGACTTTCCCTACGTACTTATACCAGGCAGCTGGACTGTCATAACTAAGCTTTGACAACATGGGTACAACCAGCTTATGCAGCCTCTCAACCTGTCCGTTCCCGCGTGGCACACCGGTTGCAATCAGTAGGTGTTGAATATTGTTCGATTCGCAGTACTCTCTAAATGCGTGTGACGTAAACGCAGTGCCCCTATCTGAAACAATACGGTGAGGATTTCCAAAGTTTACCGCTTGTTGCTCCAAACTGTTGAAGACCTCATCTACCCCAGTGCTACGAGTTGGGTAGAGCCAAACATATTTAGAAAATCCGTCAACTACAACTTATATGTGGTTATAACGCTTATTAGTTAGTTCCATGGGTCCGACATGATCGACATGGTAGGTTACAAATGGCATGTTCCCTTGTCTATAGATGTCAGAAACCCTTCCTTTTTCCCTGACTTTGCATTAACTATGATGCACCTAACACAACTATCAACGATTCGTTCGACCTTATCTTTTAGCTTCGGAATAAAGTATGACTTTTCTATTAAATCTATCGTCTTCTTAGTTGAAAAGTGCCCTTGACTATGCGCATTCGAAATGATTTCGTTCTCCATTACTGATGGCACAACAACTAGTTCCCGATTTTGATCCTTCAAAAGAATATCGTTGTGAATATAAAAATCTTCATAGCCTTCATTCCCTACTAGGCTCCTAACTGCCTTTATCCAATCGTCATTCAATTGAGCTACCTTTAAACGATGTGCTAATGCATCTGTAAAAAAGTTACAAGAGATTCGACGTAGCGCATCGGTATGCTTCATTTTCAACCCCGAACGGTGCTCTATCTTATAATTGAAGTCTTGCAAATATAATGCCCAACGAGCTACTCTGAGTGGAACTTCCTTTTTATTCATGGTCATTTTGAAAGCATTACAGTCCGTTACGATGGTAAAATTAAGACCTAACAGCTAAACTCGCCACTTAACAAGAGCTCCTATGATCGCCAATACTTCTAGCTCATAAGAGTCGTATTTTTCCTCAAACGGTGTTGTTTTCCGGCTCATATATTGAACAGGGTGAAACATACTGTCTACAGGATCCTTTTGTAATAAGACAGCTCCAAATCCATACTTGGATGCGTCAGTGTGGATTTCGGTTGCCAAATTTGGATCGTAAAGTTTCAATACTGGCTCGCCAATACTGGCTCAATGCCAACTTAAGCTTTTCGAAAGCCACTTGTTGTTTTTCTCCAAAATCGTACTTTGACTCATTTCTCAGTAAATCCGATAAAGGCCTGGCGACTGTAGCGTATCTGTTTATGAATTTTCTAAAATATGAAGTCAAACCTAAAAATCTTTGGATACCTTTCTTATCTCGTGGTATGGGAAATTCTTTCACAGACTGAATCTTCTCTGCTCCTGGTGTTATTGTTCCATCCTGAATAATGTATCCCAGAAAACTTACTTTCCTCTGCAATATTTGGCATTTTCCCCAATTGATACGCAAACCATTTTCCGCAGCTACCTCTAATACCATTTTTAATTTCCGAAACCCTTCTTGATTATCTTGGCTTAGTATTATGACATCATCCATATAAACTACGACAACGTTGCTTGCTACAAGCTCCCTAAAAACTGACATTATAAACCTGGTGAAAATGGCAGGGGAATTCGATATGCCGAATGGAACATATAAGAATTCATACTGCCCACTTTGCGTAACAAATGAAGTATATTTTCGAGACCCTGCTTCAACTGGAACATGAAAGAAGCCGTCTTTTAAATCCAATGTCGTGAATACCATGGAACCCTGAAGCTTGTCTAGCACACTCTCCATATGAGCCATTGGAAAATTGTCTCTTATTATCTTCTCATTCAGTTTTCGATAGTCGCAGCACAGGCGTTTCTTTCCATTTTTCTTCGCTACCAAAACAACTGGAGATGCATACTCCGAGGTACTCGGCTGTATGATTTTCTCCACTAGCCACTCCTTAACTTGTTCGTCTATCGTTTGCTGCTCACAAACTGGGAAACGACGTGGATGTTGGTATACTGGAACCTCATCTCTCATGATGATTTTCATCTCCACTGGCGCATTAGCGTTGCGAATGGGTGCGTAATCTTCTACTAACTTCTTCACCTCCGACTGCTCTAATTGGCCTAAATGAGACAAGTCTACCTTAGAGCACACATCCAACTGTTCGGAACACATGTTCTTGAACTCTGCCAGTAAATCGCTACATGAACTGTCCTCTATCTGGTATTTATTCTGGCTTTTCATTTCAGTCCTCAGTACGAGCTCAGTCCCGCCTTTAGTCACATTCATATCGACTGTATCTAAAATCGTTCTGCCTAGAATTACGTCAAAACCCATGTCCTCGTCAGGTACTACGTGGAATTCGACTTTCATTGGGATTCCGTCAATGTTCACTGGTATGGTAAAGCTCCCAAAAGTCAGTACCAGGCTTTCTCCTATTCCTGTCAAACGTTTTCCTTTTCCTGTCAGCATCTCATTACCCAGTTTCAGGAAAACACGTCGACGCATTAGACAGAGATCAGCTCCAGTGTCTACTAGGCCTTTAAAAGTTACCACAGAATGCACAATATTCTTGAGTTCGAGACCGGACGCTGTAAACTCACTTTTCGACTTTGGTCCTGTCTTTCCCTCATGAACAGTGTTGGCACCTTTCTCATCCTTAACAACCAAATCTACCTTGCATTCTGATGCCCGATGTCCTGCCTGACCACAGCGAAAACAATTGAAATCCCTTTTCTTGCAATCTTTCTTCAAGTGAGAAGTATCACCACACTTGAAACATTTTCGTACTGATTCTCTTTTTGGTTCAAAACCTTTCTGGCTATCAGTATCACCAGCACGGGTTTTATACCTAATCGGTACCTTACTCGAAGTACGAACTTTTAAATACACTTCTATTTGTACCTTCAACTCTTTGATTGTTTTAGCCTGATACAACATAATTTTGTTTGGCTTTACATCTGGTATGCCCTTCACGAAATAATCTATCAAACTTTCTTCATCCAGTGACACTGGCTTTGCTATTTCCATCAAAGCGTATAGAAATTCGTATAAAGTTTCCCCCTTCTTTTGCAGACGTTGTCCTAGCTTCTTATGTACTTCCGCAGAAGATATTTTAAATGTAAACTCCTGCCGCAATGACTCCTTTAGTGAATTCCAGTCCCTAATATTTTTCTGACTGCGTACAAATAATTTTGCAGCTCCATCAAGCAACTGTTTGGAATAGATAAACAACTGTAGTGAGCTCCACTGCACGGTGACCGAACATTCTTCTAACTCTTGTACCCACTGCTCTACATCTGGGCTATTCGTTCCTAAGAAAGTGGATACACTACCCTCTACATCTTTCAGGGTAAATAAAGATCGGGTCTGTGGCATGGCAATCCCTGGAAATTCGTTTGCGGTAACTACCGACTCATCTCCATCCGAACCACCATCATCATCATCATCATCCCGAATGCCGAAGTGAGCAAGAAGTCTATCCTGTAAATCGCGTTTTCTACCAGTCGTGGACAAATTAAGTTCAGATAACTTCAAGCGCAGGTCTGCAACTCGCATTAACATGATCTCTTCTAGTTGCATTTTGAATATCGATTACGTTAAATATCAAGAATCAAAGGTTAATGTAATAAAGCTTATCGATAACTTATCGAATTAATCAAAGGTTAATCAGTTAATTATTACCAAAGTTCTTAATTCATGCATTAACTTATCTACCGCACTTCAGAAGATCTGCTTCTCTCGTCTGCTTGTCGTTTCTCGGCACTTGCTTGCCGACGCTCACCAGAAAACTGCTTCAC